AAATAAGAGAAAGAGCTGAACAATTGCTGAATCGCTGAATCACTAATCGAAGTACAACTGCTCGCATTTCATTTCAATTTAGCAATGTCTTTGTTCGTCATTTGCTCAGCTGCTTTGTGCAAACAAAAGAAAATCGAGTGCTTAATAAAAACTAAAAATAAAAATAATTATTCTCGCTCTACTCCAACTGCCGCTTTAACAATTTAAAAGTCTCACTTTGCAGGTGCCTGCTGTTAAGTAAATCCAATCTAATGAATGCATAGCTTAAGGATAAATCATGGGGCGGTAGTTATATTCTCTGAATTACTACTACATTAAAGACTTCAACATGTTAAACGTCATATACAAATCACATTTGAAGCCATACACTCATACACTCTCTATTTTGATTGGTATTAGCCAACCATTCAGAAGAGAACTGAAAAGACACTATGTAGATTAATCTTTGGTTTACTAATTCTATTATTCCTCACTCGCAGACAACATATAACCTTTCCATCCCTTATGATTTCTGCGAACTTGATCTCTGTCATCCCTTAAACCTACTCACCTGCCTCCTTTTATATCAACTTCATGAACGCCCCCTTTCTCCCTTCAGCTGCCTGTCAAGGATGAGAACATCAAATACCTCTGCCATTGGCCATGTGTTTCGGGACCCATTAGCTCCAGCCTGGCGCTGCCCGCCTCCGGCTTTACGCCTCTGCAGGAGGTGCCCTTCACCGTGGAGATCGACAACCAATCGCCGCACTACGATATTATTGCCTTGGAGGTGTCCATAAAACAGCACTTCGTCTTCCTTTCGCGCAAGCCCGTCAAGCGCAATTTCTACACGAAGACCCTCTGCAAGGAGATCGTCACGGATCGCACCCTGCGCCTGTCCAAGCGCATGTACGAGTCGAGCATTGTTGTGCCCATGGACACGCCCCGCTCCACGCTGAACCCCAACTACATTGTCTTCCTGCACTACACGCTGCAGGTGAAGCTGAAGACCGGCTACTTCCACTACGACACGGATCTCTCCGTGCCCATTGTGGTGGGCACGACGCCACTGCAGCATCTGCAGGCCAGCACCTGCACCCGGCAGCCGGGTCGACGCACGCCCACGCCGGAGCGCCAACGCCTCATCGAGCGGGTACAGCCACGCCCCGCCACGGTCCAGGAGGAGACGCCACAGGAGGCGGCTGCCGAGGAGATTCATCAGACGCTGGAGGACGACGAGCCGCCCTCGTATGACAGTTGCTGTGAGTGAAGAAGATAATCTATCTCTCTATCTCTTACTCTCTCTCTCTCTCTCTCTGTCTCTCTCTCTCTCTCTTTCATTGCAGTGCCGCCTTCGTTTAGCTTCGCTACTCTGGCTGGCAGCCAGCAGACGTTGGAGAGCCAACCGCGCATACATCTGCCCAAATTTCCGGGCTTTAGCAC